GGATGAAATGTACTCCGCCATGGAAGAACTGGGTCTCGAGTACGACTGCTCTTGGCCGACGCTCAAGTACACCAACTGGTATGGCTCGAAACCGTACGGCGCTCTGTGGCCTTACACCCTCGACTACCCTTCCATTCAGGTGTGTCCACGCATCGGGGAGTAAGCAGTGCATATTTGCCACAGAGAGAGAGAGAGAGAAAGAGGAGAGATGGAAGAATAATGAGAAATATAAGGAACGCTCATTCCTTCACACACACATACATATAAATATATATGGATGTATATATACATATACATATAGACATAGAGAGAGAGAGAGAGAGAGAGAGAGAGAGAAGAGAGAGAGAGAGAGAGAGGAAGAGAGAGAGAGAGAGAAGAGAGAGAGAGAGAGAGAGAGAGAGAGAGAGAGAGAGAGAGAGAGAGAGAGAGAGAGAGAGAGAGAGAGAGAGAAGAGAGAGAGAGAGAGAGAGAGAGAGAGAGAGAAAGAAAGAGAAAGCGAAAGAGAGAAAGAAAGAAAGAGTGCAAGCGAAAGAGAGAGAGCATGTAAACATTCCTTCCCCAATAAACACAGGAACATTTACAGAGAAGACGTGCATCTCTTCCAGGACTGCCAGCTGGGCCGATGCCCCGAGAGTTCCTATAAGGGGCTCTGGGTCGCTCCAATGGTTGATCTGAACGACAACGTGGGAGAAGCCTGTGCTATGTTGGACACCTGCAGGAGGTAGGTTATCCACGAGAGAATAATTACAAGTTGTGTAGTTTGTTGCGAATCTCAGGTAAGGTAGGTTAATTGTGTTAATCAGCCGCGAGGAATTGGACAGTGTTTTCTCATTCAAAACAAAAGTTGAAAAAAGTAGGCTTTCCGGTCGAATAAATGATTAGTATAGTGATCGGAGAGTATAGTATATATATGAATACCATTACATTAGAGTGAATATGAGGTTCTCATTCAAAATAGGGAATTGGGGCAGCCAGGGATGGTAAGGGGGGAACGTGACTACTCTCTCCCTGTGGAATTCACTGTTTAGAGAATCCTCTGCTGATCAAATACCTCATTAAATTCTAATGATTTATTCGTTATCAGTTAGTTATCTCTTAAAATCTTCACTTTCTTCATTCATTTCTCCCCAGCATGGACGACGAGCTCTTGAACAACGCCGATGCGATCGAGTACTTCCTCAAGCGCAACTTCGACCTCAACTACAAGAAGAATCGGGCACCGTTCGGCCTCTACGCTCACCACGCCTGGTTCTACGAGAATGAGATCGACGGGTCCACTGCCCGGATGGACGGCTACTTGAGGTGAGGCCTTGGGTTTGCCCGAGTGCATACCGATGTATGTGTGTAAGTATATAGTGTGTGTGTGTGTTGTGTGTGTGTGTGTGTGTGTGTTTGTGTGTGTGTTGTGTGTGTGTGTGTGTTGTGTGTGTGTGTGTGTGTGTGTGTGTGTGTGTGTGTGTGTGTGTGTGTGTGTGTTTGTCTTTGTGTGTGTGTGTGTGTGTGTGTGTGTGTGTGTGTGTGCCTGTATATGCGCTCTTTCGCTCCCACGCGCTGCTTCAGACGGCGACCCACTCACCTCCTCCGCCTCCCGACAGATTCCTCCAGTACCTGGCAACCAAACCCGACGTCTACGTGGTGTCCATGAGCCGCGTGCTGGAGTGGATGAAGAACCCCGTCCCCGTCACCCAACTCGATTCCGCAGCGGCCTTCTCTTGCAACGTCTTCGATCCGGAAACCGACTGCCCTGATGTGAACAATTATCAGTTCGATGCGTCGCACAATCTTCCCGACAGCATTAGCACCATGACGATGGCCTCCTGCGCCAAGCCCATGCCCAAGTATTATCCTTGGCTCCATAATCCTTACGGCAACGAGACAATCGCTTGAAGGGTTAGGATTAGTGAAACAGAAGCGTCTATACATGAACTCTTTTTATTCTTCTTTCTCTTTCTTTTCTCCTTTCCCCTTTCCCCTTCCTCTTCCCTTTTCTTATTTTTTACTTTCCCTTTCCCCTTTATTCCCTTTTTTTTTACTCTTCCCCTTTCCTTTCCCTTTTATCCCCCCTTTTCTTATGTTTCTTCCCTCTTCCCTCTATACATGAACAGTGGTAGTACTACTGTGTGAAATAAAAAAAAATAAGGGAAGAAATATTATAGTTTTTTCCCTAATTGGTTGAAGTCAGGCTTTCCACTGACGAAATTAAACAATTAACAAACACGCATTTTAATCTATAAGAATGTCAACAATCCTCGGACGGGACGCATTTTGTGATCAATATTTTTTTTTTTTTAAGTAATAATAAAATACAGGTAAAGAATAATAAAAAATAATTAAAAAGAAAGGCATTGGATTTATACTGTCTTTACTTACCTTTTCTCGACTAATTTGTTTATCCCGGCAAGAAATGGCCCCAAAAATGCATGTAATTTATGAATTATGTATGACCCTGATTCACAAGGATGTAATCATCACGAAATTTCTAATAAAGGTCGAAAAATAACAGTTTAAGAATAGAAAAAGTCAAATATAAAGGAATTTCATATATTCCTCTCTTTGTTTCTATCGTTGGAACTCCCTTTGTGTCCAGACTAATGTGTTTATCCAGGAGTGAATGACCTTAAAATCCTTTGTGGTTTATAATCCTGTGAAAATATGGATCTGATATGGTCCCATTGTCCAGGAATAGTTAATATAATACACATGGTACGAATGAAATTGGGAAAGACGCTTATAATAATAACTGGAGTAAATGAAGTATATCGAAGTAAAAATAAACTACATTTATTTTCAAAGAAATATAAACAGTAGAATTGAAGATATGCACTTAGTGTTGTTTACGGTAGCACTTTACAAGAGAAGCTTCGCCTAACCTTGTGATCAAACAAACGTTACATTAGAACAGACAAGAAACAGCAGATTACGTATGGAAGACAAACAGAAAGACAGCACGAAATGTATCACACTGAATGGCCAAAATAACCATTATCATTATTGTTATGATTCTGAGTATCATTACTGTTATTATTAGTATTGTTATTATTGTTATTATTATAATTACTACTACTGTATACTATAACATTCATTTGGAGAGTTATATAAGAATTGAAAACTGAAGCTAGAAAGTAAAAGATAATGGAATACTGAAGGTAAATATTATTGATATAGAAGAAAAGGAATTTTCAATACTGAATATTTGTGGAGAAATCAAAGTTCCTCTTTTTGGATAATTGTTTTACGGTCATTGTCCATTTTTTTCTTTTTATTTTTTATTTTTTTCGTTACTGCTATTTCATTTTTTTATTGTGTAATCATTATTATTATTGTTATGATTCTGAGTATCATTATTGTTATTATTAGTATTGTTATTATTGTTATTATTATAATTATTACTACGGTATCATCATTAATATTACTAGTTTTTATTATTATCATCATTACTATTGTTATTATTTTTATGATCATTGTTATTGATATCATCCTCATTATCATTATTAACTCAACAGCAACAGCACAACAGCAGCAACTACTACTACTACTACTGGTGCTGCTTCTACTGTTGCTGCTGCTGCTATAGCTCTGTTACTGGTGCTACAAAAACATCTACAACAGTTGCTACTACTACTATTGCTACTACTTCTATAATACGTGCGGCTTCTACTGCTATTATTAATAATGTTGATATCAAATAATGTTACTGCTACTTCTAATATTACCTACTACTACTACTATAGTTGCTATCACTACTATTTCTACTATTACTATTATTTATAATACTACCACCTACTGCTACTGCCACTGCTATCACTCTACTTCAACAGTTGCTACTTCTACTACTATTACTACTACTCTATTACTACTACTACTACTACTACTACTACTCTACTACTACTACAACTAATCCTAATATTTATTATTACTACTAAATATAATGATAATATTAATACTACTTATGATAACAATACTAACTGCCACCTACTATTTATATTATTGTTATCAATATGACAATCATTTTTATTCTCCTTTTCATTCGTATCAATATCATTATCATTTTATTATTATTATTATTATTACTACTATTTATTCTATAATAATATTTCATTCCTATCAATATATTATTGTTATTTTTATTATTATAATTAATTTTTTAATTATTATATTTTCATTGATGCTGTAATTACTATTGTCATTATTATCATTATCACTAATTTCACAGCCAGTATCATTAGTATTATCATAAACATCACAAACATAATTTTCATCATTATTTCTAGTTTCATCATTGCAATTACCAACATACTATTCATCATCATCATTATCCTAATCATCATAACCAAGCTGTATGTGCTACCCTCATCTATAAATGTTTGTGTGATTTTTTTTTTTATACCAAATAAGCCGAAGACGAACTATTATCACGCTATAAGCTCATTTGTGTACGATTATAGTTATCAGCTTGCACGCTATCTGCAATCAGTGTGACGGAGGTTTGTTCAAACATATGAATGCTGTTTTACTATCGAGACTTTCTTATTCTTTTTTTCTTCACTTGTTCTTCCTTGTAAGGTTTCCATCATTGTAATATACTGTATGATAACAATGATGATAATGATTTATTATTGTTATTATTGTTATTATTATTATTATTATTATTATTATTATCATTGAATAGGGTTTTTTTTTACATATATAATTATATATATATATATATATATATTATATATTATATATACAAGAGAGATAGATAGAGAGAAGAGAGAGAGAGAGAGAGAGAGAGAGAGAGAGAGAGAGACTTGGGCAGGGACAGAAAAAAAAAACAACCAACGAGTAGACAGAGTTCAATAACGCTCCATTATTCAAAGTAAATTAGACAGATGTGCAAATTAATAAACCAATAGTCCCCAAACCAGATGCTGCAAGATGAAATTATGAAAGAAAATCTACGGAGACAACACACGTGCATCAAAACTTTCCAAAACATTTAACACAACACACTAGCATCAAATTAATATCATGTCATATTCCAAAACATTTAACATCTTTCACTGATGAGCCTAAACAAGACTAGATCATGTTATCCGAAAAAAAGAAATGAGGCATTTGAATATATTCTTTGTCTCTGAATGCTTCATTTATTATCATTATGTATCGTCTTGTTTGTTCGTATTGAAGGTTCAAGTTGCTCTCGCTTTTTTCGTAATGTTTAAGTTTTTATTTGGTGATTCTATTTGATTTCGTTCACTCATATCTTTTATTTATCATTATCATTTTTAGGCAACTACTCTAATTCCAAATATGGGATATGCTAACTGGAGAAAATAATTTTTTAAAATAGTACCAAATGATAGAAAACATGGTAATTCGCCTAAATAATTACATAGATGTTTATTCACTTACTGACTCTTTTACGGAGCACTAACTCACGCACCGCACACGCATTTGGCGAATCAACAAGTGTTCTTCCGTGCATGCCGAGAGAACGTGTGCAAGTATGTACTTCGCGTGTTAGTAAAGAGAAAAGTCCGTGTGTTGATAGCATGCAACTACTCTCCCTCTCTCTCATATATATATATATATATATATATATATATATATATATATATATATATATATATATATATATATATATATATATACATATACACATATATATATATAATATATATATATATATATATATATATATATAATTGTGCATACATATATCATATATATATATATATATATATATATATATAATATATATATATATGTACATATATTACATATATATATATATATACTTATACATACAGCACACAAACACACACACACACACATATATATACATGTGTATAATATGTATATCTATGAATATAAATATATATATATATATATTTATACATACATATATATATATATATATATATATATATATATATATATATATATATATTTATACATACATATATATATACATATCTATATCTATCTATATCTATCTATATAATATATATATATATATATACATATATATATTATATACATATATATATATTATATTAATATATCTCGGTCCTAACAGAAAAGCAAGTTCCATGGTGTGTGGCGCCGCCTCATTTCATCATAATCCGTGTGGGGCGACAGCAGGACGACATCTTACCACATTTTAATACCTATTGATCCCATGATTATGGTAATTTACTTATCAAACATTAGTATCTATAATACCAGGTTTAAACACGTCTTTTAACACCTACACCTAACTTACCTGCATGTGGGGCGAGAGCAGGACGCCGTCTAACTAGACAGTAACAATATTCCTGGATATTACTTTCCCCCATTGAGATGTTATTAAACAAAAAAAAATCATTCATAGATAATTATAACTTCCTTTATTTGTTATAACACTATTTTTTGCGAAATTGATATGCCTTTAAAAAAAGGGTAAAAAATGTTTCCTGTAATCATAACAAGTGCATCCTCTGAATGTCGAATTAATAATGATTTCGATATATATGTGATGTGTGCACGCGTACATATACTATTTGTGTGTGTGATTTTTTAATATGTATATCATTATTTATTTACCCAATTGTACTCCAAATTTTATTGATTTCAATTCCGAATAGAATTAGAATTTTCATATTAAAATAATGAAAAACTTCAAGTCCTCAGTCACATGATATACCATCTCTGGCGAAAATGTACTGAAGAATTAAACCGAAATGCGACCAAATATCATAATTAACAAATTATGATTTAGATTTTAGTCATTATATCCATTATCATTACACCATTATAATAATAAAAGGATAATAATAATGACAATTATGATTATATTATTCTCATAACCACCATCATCATATTACTATCATCTTTATCATAATCACACATTATCATAATCATCTTCATCATTATTACACATTATTTTTATTATCATCAACATAATCATCATCATTAGTATCATTATCGTTATTGTAGTCATTATCATTACTTTCATAATATTTGAATCATTATTCCTAATAACATTATGTCTTTCTCATTAAACTCGGCATCATGTTGATTCTTGTAAATGTTATACATATTTATGTTTTCTTTCTTTTTCTCTCTCGTTATTTTGATCGTAAGTAAAAATAAAACTCTTTGAGCGAACTATAAAAACGAAAAACAGGTAAAGGAAATATCCTGCTTTAAAATGAAAGACATCAAACTAAAAGTAAAAAAAAAAACGAAAGAAAATTATAATGATGAAAATGAGTCTAATTATTATCATTTTTCTTTTCTTTTTTTTTTAGAAATAAAAATGCAGAATGGAAAAAAAAGTTGGAGAGAGAGAGAGAGAAGAGAGAGGAGAGAGAGAGAGAGAGAGAGAGAGAGAGAGAGAGAGAGAGAGAGAGAGAGAGAGAGAGAGAGAGAGAGAAGAGAGAAGAGAGAGAGAGAGAGAGAGAGAGAGAGAGAGAGAGAGAGAGAGAGAGACTAAAAGGGTTAAATGGCACTGTAAATTTATGCAAGGATATTGAC